CTACGCGCCCACCGCCGCCATCATCCTCTCCAACCGCTCGCGCGCTCTCACCGCGCGCTCTCATTGGCCGCCGCCTCGAGCCCACCCCCTCCGCTCCTCGTTTCTCATTGGACCGCTGACGCAGCGTGGGGAGAGCGCGCTTGCGCGGTAAGGCGCCCGCGCCGTTCGTCACCAGCTGAGGGCGGAGCGGAAGAGCGGAGCGAGGGCGGCCATTGGAGAGGAGTTCTCCGCCCGTTGGCCAGCGGCTGTTCGCAGTGGGGTGGAGCGTGGCGTTCCATTGGCCACTGTCCGTGACGCATAGAGGAGGGGGGTGGGACCAGTGGTGCGAGCGAGCTGATTGGTCGCTGCTGCAAATTTAAAATTTAAAGGTGGGAGGGAGCGCGTGACCGTGACGTCACTGGTGTCACCTCCTCTCGGGCAGATTTGGCTGCTGAGCCCTCGGGGGGCGATGGGAGCTTCGCGGTGCCCGCCTGCAGCCCCGGCTCGAGCAGCCCGCCCAGAACCAGCGCCTGTTAAAAAGCAACAGGAGCGGTCGGCTGAGGAGAAAAAAGTAGAATTCACAGCCTGAGAGAGGGGAGTTCAAAGTCTGCCAAAGACAGGGAAATATAGACGACTGATCACAAATATGAGTGAAAAAACGGCAATTTAGGCACAAGTTTGCCGCACGTGAGATAATGTACCCCATAAGTGGCCTAGGAAGCATCCTGTAAGTGACCTCTAGGTTCTTTCAGGGCTGGTCACGCACCAAACTGTGGGTATGGTGGTAACCAGACAGCAGCCGTCTGTGTCAAATCTGGTCTCTTCTACCTGTAACACACGAGCCCAGCAAAGTGGAACCGATTAGAAACTGCAAGGATCGATCTGTGAACAGCCACACATAAATAGTGCGCTTCTGTTTGGGGGTGCTGCTTTGTGATCGATCCTAAGCACTGAATGCTGCAAAATTAAAACAGGCCTTCGTGTGGGTTCCAAATCTGTGAGCAGTGTTAATGAGCTGGAACAGGGCTGGGGCTGTCCCACTGAGAGCAAGGAAGGTTGCTGGCTAGGTGGGCAGCCCAGGGTACCCGGCCTGGCTCCAGCCCCAGCGCTCCCTTGCTGGCATCAGAGCCATTCCTTGGCTTGCCCAAGTCCTGTCCTGTGGGCCAGGAGCCATGGCTGGGCCCCAGGAGCTGTTGGGGCTGCTCTCAGCCCCATACATCAGTAGCATGTGCCAGCCCTGACAAAGAGCTTTTGAGCCGTCGCTGCCACTATTGGCAGCTGGCATCCGTCCCAGCAGCCTCCAGAACACTCAGCACAGTGTGACCGAAACCACCTTACCGTGGGCTGCCTGGGACCAGAAACACAGTCAGGGCATGGGGACAGCGTGGCAGTTCCCAGTGTGGCACCCTGCAGCCCTGCGCTGGTGACAGCCACCTCCCCTCTCCCTGTGCTGCTCCCTCCCTTCCGGCTCCAGGTGTTTGCTCCCACGGCTGATCCAGCTCTCAGGAAAGCCACAGGAGATAGCTGAGCCCCAGGGAACCTGCTTGTTTGGCAGCTGGAGCTGCTCACACCACTCCTTGTCACACTGCCCTGCTGCTCGCTGGATCGTTTGCCCTCTCCGCCCTCTCCCCAAGGACACCACTGACTTCTCTTTCCAGCAGAGCCATTGGGCTCTCGCTGGGCAATCATTTACTTGCTGATAAATGCAGTTTCATGGGAAGAGGGGAAGGATGCCAGAAAAATCATTTGTAGATTGGGCTCACGTTTGGTTGGCACTTTGACTTGAAAAGTTTTGGTTTGGGGTTTTTGTTTGTTGATTGGTTTGTTTGCTTGCCAGTTGGTTTTATTTTTGTTTTTACTTAGAAAATTCTTGATCCATTTTGACCTTTTTCCAATGTTTCTGAGTGATATTTATTGGCAAGCCTCGCTGCGTACAAAACCCCACACCTAAATGAAAGATCTGATCTCCTGCTGTATGAACGCTCTCTTCAGCCCCAGAGGAAAGTTTGTTTTCTGTTCTGCCGAGCCAGGCAGAAGGTTTTGTTTTGGATTGCCTCAAATGCTTTGCTTACAGGACACTTCTCAAGGACCTGCATGAGAAAGAAGTCACCTGAGATGCTGCACGATGCCTGGGCACTGCCCTGTGCTGCATGAAAGCTTTGGATCCTCCCCACATCCCCTCACCTTCCCCATGCTGTGTGCCCAGCACTGCTGGTAGTGGCTGCTGTTCTTTTGCTCCTAATTATGGAGGAGCAAATTGAGAGGATTGGATGTGCTTGTTGGACATTAAAGACCGCAGGGATGGCTTCGGTGTTGTGATTGCCTGCAATTGAGGCAAATTCCTTGTTTCTCTGTCTTAATGGATGAGATCCGTTGCCATCTGTTTGCCAGCATGAGCTCCAGCATAAATCCAGGAAGGAGCAGGATATGTCCCACCACTCTCCCTCCAGACGAGGGTGATCTCTGGCACATACCTTCTGAGGTCACCTCTGGGACCAGTGCCTGTGTCCCAGCACTGGCGGTGATAAGATCTGCTGGGACAGTTCGCAGTGAACCAAGGAGTCCCCATGCCCTCCTCTCCTGGGCAAAACTGCCCAGAGTGCTCCGGGCAAGAGGGAGGGATTTCTGCACACTTCAGATTTTGTGTTTATGCCTCTCAAATGTTTTTAGTGCTCATAAAATTGAGAAACTGGAAGAGACCCAGCTGGGACCAGTACGGTACAACCCTCACCCAGAGCCTTCCCAAGGCGACCAGGACCTGCCCAGTGCCATGTCTCAGATCAGGAGGACAAATAGACCTGTTCCAAGTCCCCTGCACAACCCAGCTGATTTCTTTAGGAAATCTTAGGGGGGGGGGGGGAGTTGCCTCTCAGATTCATTTACAGTCACATACATACTCACGGGGAAGTGGTGGTGGCTGAATCTCAAGGGTGCTAATTGCTGTGAGGGAGGGGAAGCTTGCAATGAACTTCGTTTTGTGGATGCTGGATGTGATGGGACAACCCTGATGTGGAGTTTCCAGTATTGCCCATTCAAGCAGCCTGAGAGTAGCTGCTACTGAAAGAGGTTCCCAAATTATGGGTACAAGCAGGTGAGGGGTGAGTCTTGAGTGCAAGCAACCAGCAGAGCATGCCAGCTCCAACAGGCCAGTAGAAGCATGGTGATGATCTGCAGATTGATAAGAAGGGGCCATGCAAGGCAGTGCAGCAAGGTGAGACTATCAGGCCAGTGGAAAAGCTATTATCTTTTGTGCTCTGCCTGCAGTTGGGGAGGGAGGCAGGGACAGAGCTACTGCCACAGATGGCCCATGCAGATCCTCCTGGACTCTGCAAAACAGGGCTTTGCACATTTGGGAGACATCACCAATTCAGTGAGAACCCAGATTGGAAAGCTTTGCAGTGTGGTTTCTTCTGCTGAAATGTAACTATACAGTGTAATTGCTAGCGACTATGCTACCAGGATATAGCAAGTTCCTTTATGTTGTAAAGTGCTCCTTTGTGTCTCTATGTCTCCTATCTCAAGATTTCTAAGAGCTGCTGCAGGGCAGGGTGGAATTCTGGTCCTGGCTGTTAGGAGAACACACAGTATTGCTTGGGGTTCAGCTTCTTGCTGGCTGAAGGTCTCAGTGTGTACAGCTGCAACTGCCCTGCAGAAATCACAGGTAATGGGATGCCCAGTGAATGTCACATAGATAGCTCAGCTCAGCAGCAGCACAGCTTACTTGCTGCTCTACTCCCAGATGACCCTACATGGTACGCCTGTTGCTGGCTTGTTGTTCTGCCATAGAGAAGTGTTCCTTGCACCTGATCTGCATTTCCAAGGCTTTTTCCAAAGCCCTGTATGGGGCCCAAATGAGATCTGACAGTGATTTTATGTAGCCATCAGTCTCTTCAGGATCATCCCCAGCATTTTTCTGCCATTTGTCAGTTTGAGAAGAAAGGAAACAAGAAATAATAATCAACTCAAATTATTGCCTAATCAACACAGAAATCAGTGCTGCTTGCTCAGCCTGCAGGCCACAATTAGATGCCATCAGCAAATTCGGGCAGCTTGCCTGGGCTGCAGTCTTTCATCTCTGGAAGACTGACAGGCCTCTCTCGGATCTGCAGGCAGAGGAAGGAGCTGGGATGCGTTTGAAGGACTTGGCTCGTGGGGAAGGAACACATGGTTCAAAACCACAGAAAAAGGAAAGCTATGTTTAATATAACACTAAAGGAAGCCCTGTGCTGGAGGAGGGGACATTAACCCTGCAGCTGAGGGTTGTAGTGCCAAGCTCTCCAGCCCCCTCTCTGTCACCATTTCAGGGCACTGCCCTGGTCCACGTAGCACCAGCTTAGCTTGCCCTGCCAAGAGGACAAGGTGGTTAAACCACCAGGAAACGATGAGACATGTCAGTTCTATATCCCTGTAGATATACGGCAGCTTTGGCAAGGTCACTGCATGCCTGCGCATGATCTTGACTTTTGGTTGGAAGCGCCTATCTTCCTCTTCCTCTTGGGACTGTCCCACAGTCTTTCTTCCCATCAGCAAACAGCAGGACCTGCACCCAGTGACTCAGGCTGACTTGGTATCCTCGGTTCTGGTGTTGGGAAAGAGCACATAGAGAGCAGGACCAGTGGTGAGGGGAGAAGGATGTGATGCAGGCAGGGAGGCTGCCAGGGTGACATGGTCAGGATGTCTGGCCCAGGTCCAGGAAGGGGACAGGAAAGGGTGTGGGGCAGGACTGAGCAGGGGGCTGGACTGGACACCCAGGCTCCATAGCTAGGAGTCCCTGGGGAGGCAGGGCTCATTACTGCAGCAAGCAGCTGGGAGAAGAGGTGCTGGAGCCCCGTCCTTCCTCGCAGAGAGCAAGGAGGGTTAGAGCAGAGAGCAAGCGTGGAGCCTCCCGCGTCTGAAATGTGATCCTGCTGGAGGCACCTCCCTGGGCCCCACCTTGCGCTCCCCAACATATATATGTCACCCGCCAAGGGCACAGGGGACACGGACTGACACACTGTGCCCGGGCCCCGGCATCCCTGCAGATGGAGCGGCCAAGGCACCAGGGGATGGCAAAGAACACCTACATGCGCTGGCGGCTGCCACTCATCTGCCTCCTCTGGGAGGTGGCGATGATCATCCTCTTTGGGGTCTTTGTGCACTTCGGCCCTGAAGCTGATGCACACTGGGAGGAAGAGAAGCATCAGATGAACCTTACCAGTGACATTGAGAATGATTTCTACTTCCGATACCCCTGTGAGTATTCAGGAAGCCCAGTCCCGGTGTTGGCTGGCCTCCACACCCCACCTCACCCCATCCCATCCCATCCCATCGCACCCCACCCCATCCCATCCCATCCCATCCCATCCCATCCCATCCCATCCCATCCCATCCCATCCCATCCTGTCCTCTTTGTTGTTGCCTCAAGGGTTTTGGGAAAAGGTGATAGAGAGGTTTCAGGATAGCAGTTCTGAGTTCCTAAGTGATTCTTTTGTCTTTCCCAGTTAAATCTGGCTTGGGACAGAATCCATCAGAGGTGAAGTCTACAGTGACTGCTGGGGAGTTGAGCTTCACCTTGACACTGCTGTGGGGTGCCCCAAAGAATGAGAGAAGAGCCTTGTGGCCCTCCAGTGCTCTGGGGATTTGTCAACAGGGTGCCACCAGCATGTGATGCCTTTTCTCCAGGAATAAGGCTGACGCATTCCCAGCACCCTGCAAGTTTCAGCTTGCTGCCCCCTCGCTCGGTTTCCTTCTACATACGGAGGAACGGCTGTCGAGATCCTGTGACATCTTCCCCCTTTTCCTATGCCCTCCCCCTCACTAGCTCTTTAGCTGCTGCCATTTTGATGAGTCCTCCCAACCTGTCAGCTGCCCATGGTCCTTCGGTCACTATGCCTTATTGCCATGGGGATCGCTCAGGTGGTCAAAGCTTTTCAGGCCAGGTGGTACACTTGGCTGGCTTTGATCTCTGGGGCTGGTCATCTTCTTTGTGAGCTGATGGGAACAGGCTGCTTCTGTAGGCAATTGTTTCCAAGGAAGCAACGGGCTTGAGTCATGCATCTATTTAGAATATTTCCATTAAAAAACACCTGCTAAATCAAAGGAGCTATAGAAACCTGTAGCTGCTGAGGATTAACTGGTTCAGACAAGGATTTGCCTGCAGAAACTTGCTGCTCAGCTGGCCTGGTTTGTATAAGCCATGGCTGCCCTGAGCTCTCCTTCCAAACTGCCTGTAGATGTATCCACACAGGTTGCTGTGAAGCAGCAGCAGTGCTGCTGTAATCTCTGACAGGACGGGAGAGCAGCAGAGAGGTCGAGAACGAGCCTGTAGGAGCTCGGGACACTGCGCCTGTACTGTCCTCATCTCCCATCTCCACTTTGAAGCACCAAATGTTCCCCTCTTAAATGGCTGAGCGGATTCACGCAGCTAAATCAGCCTCAGTTTAGCTGAGTTTTATCTGTTTCAAACCTGAGGAAGGGCTCACGTGTACAAAGATCAGTTTTCTTTTGGTTGTTTTTTCCTCCATTACATAATCAGAAAAATCTCTCTGCAAAAATAGATGAAAATGGTAAGATGGTAGAAGCCGAGCATTCTGATCCATGTCCATCCAGCCCTGTTTAGAAGAGAATGCAATGGCTAAACACCCGAGGATCATTTGTGCTATCACATCTGTGACTGCTACTGCCTGTAGGACCTGTCCAAAGACGCTGCAGTGGGGGAGCAGTGGCAGCCTGAGATGATTAGCTACTGCAGGATGTTTGTGCGGTCGTGTCAGTGGTGCCCATTGCCAGGGCTGCCAGTGCAACGTGACACATTCTAATTTATAGTCACACATTGATACTCCATAGTGAGTGAATCATCTGCTCTCTAGGGAAAAGAAATGAGATCCTTCAGCACAGGTAGTATTCTCAAAGCCCAAACACCTCCTCTGGATAGTGACTGCAATTGCCTTCCCACAAAAGCAAGGTCACAATGCCTCTTGAGCATGGCAGCACCTGGGCTGCTTGCAACACAAGTATTATTCTTCTAAAGGAAAAACAAAGGCAAGATTTAGAAAAATGCTTTAGGCTGGGTGCAGTTTGAAGAAAAGCCTGCTTTTCCTCCTGGGCATTTACAGGGTATAAGACATGGTGGAAATTCTCAGTATTTTCAGAGGGCACACAGTCTGCAGCCCTAACTCCAACCTGTGTATTTCTGCTTTCAGGATGAAATTAAGAATATATATAATGCACATGGCTGCAGATAATTCTAGCTGCGTATTGTGTCACTTCGGCTTGAGAAGAAAGGTGATGAGAAAAAAATATAGCTGCAGAGGGAGAGTGTGTATGACTGCATGGTTAAAAGTAGAGTTAACAAGACCATTTCTTAGGGCGTGCAGAGAAGTCCACATGAAGAGACTTCAGCTGAGCAGGGTCACCTGCAGTCTAGTCTCCTTCATCTCTCATGAGTAATTTCATAGGCGTGGGGGCATTTCTGAAAGCAAACAAATTAACCTGTCTCCTCAACTTGACACTACATCACTGGAGCCTGTCCAAATGCTTGTCCTTACACAAGTTGCAAGATCTTGTAAAGCACCAGAGGACAGAAGCTGAGACTTCTGCAATTGCACACACCCAAATCCTCAGCCAGCGCATAGCAGAGGCAGTGGGTGCAGCCCCACCATCCCTGCAGGAGGGCTCCAAGGTTCCTGGATGGCCAGCATGCCTTAGGGCCAGCACAGGGCCAGGGGACACAGCAGATCCTTAATCACTGAATTTCTTCTGCCCTGAGCTTATTACATCTCCTGCTCTTTTCACTGGAGTGGCCTCCAGTGTGATGGTCTGCACGGTTCAGATTGTAATTATGCAGCATTTCAGCTCACTTAATTGCAAAGTGATGCTTATCTGAAATAAACGTTTAGCATTAAGAAGTACAGCAGGTTTATCGCACCAAGAATTTCCCTCAAGAGGCTCATGCAGGTATAGTTTCCCCCGGGGAAGGGCATCTGAGGGGCTCTAGTTAGCAGCTATGAGCACTTGTTGGAAGAACTGCGTCTCTCTGGTTCAAGCACTCGAAATCCCACAAGGTGGGATCCTCCTGGCAAAAGTATCTTGCCACCGATTTCAGTGGCAAATAGAAACATATCTGTAAACTTCCCTTGTTCTTGTCTTTTCCCTAAGAGCTTGCACCGAGCCACCACCAGGACCCTATATTGCATAGGCTTACCCAGAATGTGTTTTAACCCGTCGTGGTTAAAACAAAAATTAGAGTGGTTCATTCATTGGTACTGTTCATGGTACGTGACATTTTTGGAATTGTTTGGTTTTGGTTTTGTTTTTTTAATGGGAAAAAAAGACAATCTGAATAGAGAAGTTTTCCTTCATGCACTCCATTAGTGTCCAGTTTTCTCTTGCACACAGCTTGCAACAAAGATATTTGGGTTTCAAAACTGAACCTTTTCACCAAAAAGCCAGCTTCCAAAAGCCAGCCATTTTCAGACTTAGAAATGGGAGGACGCAGGGCAAATGCATACATTTTTCCTTGAATTTTTTTCCTTACAGCCACTGATGTTGTTTCCTTTCACTGCTAAATTCAATTGACAGCTCTGCCTTCTCCTCAGAACTGATGATTCCCTCCCTGTGCGCAGCTTTCCAGGACGTTCACGTGATGATCTTTGTGGGCTTCGGCTTCCTCATGACATTCCTCAAGCGTTATGGATTCGGAGCTGTGGGATTCAATTTCCTCCTTGCTGCTTTTGGGATCCAGTGGGCTCTCCTGATGCAAGGCTGGTTCCACTCTTTCCAGAATGGGAAGATCCTTATTGGAGTGGAAAAGTAAGGAGAGATATGGGGTGCCACCTCTTGACTGTACAGTGGAAGAGCTGGGATGAGAGCCAGTGCCTGTCCCTGTGTTATGTGCAAACTGCAGCCTCCAAAATGTTGTCTTCCTTCTACATAACCCCACTTGCTTTCCGCCTTTTAGTCCACAGGTGCCTGTCTGATGGTGGTACTGTTACATGAGAAATGTGAGATGAATGCCATCTCTTAGTACCCAAGCAGAGCACCACAGACCCCAAGGTTAAGAGCACATAAGATCCTTCATACTCATTATTTAAACAATTTGGAGGAAAGCTCCATACCTGGCAACATGTCATATTGAGAGGAATGTCAATGGGAAACCTAATCGACTATATGCCTTACAGTGGGATCACTGGAGTTCAGTGTGGGTGAGGGTGAGTAATTATGAAATAGTACTTCCTTATAAAATCACCGTTTTCCTTCCCCTTTTCCAGCCTGATCAATGCTGATTTCTGCGTGGGTTCTGTGTGTGTTGCCTTTGGAGCCATCCTGGGCAAAACCAGCCCAGTACAGCTTCTCATCATGACTTTGTTTCAAGTCACACTCTTTGCAGTGAATGAGTACATCCTCCTCGACCTGCTTCACGTAAGCTTTAGACAGACCCCTTGTCCCCAAGATTGAGTACAGTTTGGAAAGACAGATGGGTAAACAAGCTGGGCAGGACATAGACCACAACTCATCTCCAGAATAAGCAGTGACTCCAGAAATGAACCTCAGTTTTCCCACGGCTGCAGGTTAAGGACGCAGGTGGCTCCATGACCATTCACACCTTTGGAGCCTACTTTGGCCTCACTGTGACACGTTTGCTATACAGACCCAACCTGGAGCAGAGTAAAGACAAGGAAGGCTCTGTGTACCACTCTGACCTCTTTGCTATGATTGGTGAGTCAGCCATAACCTCTGCAGCATTGGTATTTGTGCACCACTCAGTTGCAGAGAGCTGTTCTCTCAAATGTCTCTGGGAAAACCAGACCAAAACCCAGATCTGGGACCAAGATCTGCATCCCAGTTTTCAATACCTGGGAACTACTCATCTCCCCTCACTAATGGTTGGGCTGAGGTGGTGCCTGGGAAGACAAGGCAGCATTTTGGTTCCTCTTCACTGCAAACCCCTTCTGGTGCTGATCCCATCATGGAGGGCACAGCTCTGGAGCATCATAACCAGTGAATTTAACTTCGCTCTGCAGAAACCTCCTGTAGAGTTCTTTTTTCAATGTCTACGTTCTTTCTTTCCCCTTCTTCTTTTATGCTCACTCCTCCCCATCCCACCAGGTACCCTATACCTGTGGATGTACTGGCCCAGCTTCAACTCAGCCATTTCTGAACATGGGGATGCCCAGCATCGGGCTGCCATTAACACATACTGTTCCCTGGCTGCTTGTGTCCTCACCACAATGGCCTTCTCCAGCATGCTGCAGAAGAAAGGCAAGCTTGACATGGTAAGCAGGGAGCAGAGAGCCCTACACAAGCCAGGGAACTCACAGTGAAGCTGACCAAGGGCCCAGGAATTGGGTGACATTTGTCCTTTGCTGCACTGGGTTTCACAGAGTGTTGGTGCAACCGGCCTCCAGCCAGAAACTCAGGCTGCACTGAAAAAGCAGATGGGAAGTGAATCCTGATGTTTTTGCAGTGCAAGCTGGTGCTGTCCCTGCATGTGATGTGCTGATGGCACAGCAAGGGCTGCATTTACTCTCCCAGGAGAGCTACTGATGGGCATAATTCAGAGCCGTGTTTGGCAGCACTCTCCAGCAAGCTGAGCAGGGCCTGTGCAGCAGCTTGTGAGCAATCGGGGGGCTGACTTGTACGTGTTATGTGTGTGGGTGCACAGTGTGTGACAGCAGAGCTGGCGTGACACATGGGTGAGACAATTTCCATCTCATCACAACTCCCCAGCCAGATTGGTGGAAGCAAAGAATGTGTGTGGTATGAAGAGTGGGAGTCTATGTGTGCCTGTGCTACAGACAGAGGCTGCCTGTTCTTTTCCTCTTGTTTTTCACCAGCAAGCAGGAAAGTGGGCCCCGATATTTCCCCTGAAAGTATTTTCAGAGCTGATTCTCCTGCTTTACCATTTGCACACACTTTGAACAACTGTGATTTCTCTAAGATGCCAAGACAGAATGGTTACTCCTGCAGGTCCACATCCAGAATGCAACGCTGGCTGGTGGAGTGGCTGTGGGCACCAGCGCGGAGATGATGTTGACCCCGTATGGCTCCCTCATTGTTGGGTTCATCTGTGGCATTGTGTCCACAGTGGGGTTTGTCTACCTCACGGTGAGTGCTGCTCTGGAGGTCTGCAGCCCTGTTCTGTTGAGGAGACCAGGAATGGATTCACCTCCCTTTGAGGGTTCTTGATTTCCATTGTCCCTTATGAAGATGCACTTCTGACTCCATTTTCTGTCTCAAAATGCTAAGTAAGGCTCAGTCTCCTAGCAAGAGAATAGAGAAGAGCTCTTATTTTGTCCTGAGCTCATTTCACATATTTTTCTACATATTCCCCCTCCTTAGCATGGGAACACAATGGGACACATAACACCACTCTTCTTTCTCTACTTATCCCAGTCCTCCATGAAAGGAACTAATCCTTCCCAGGACTACACTCATTCTTCTGATTTCTCTCTACCTCCCTTTCCTTCAGCCTATTTTGGAGTCCAAGTTGCACATCCAGGACACATGTGGCATCCACAACCTCCATGGCATGCCAGGCCTTATAGGGGGCATTGTGGGAGCCATCACTGCAGCTGCAGCCACAGAGGATGTATATGGAAAGGAAGGGTAAGACAGCTTGAAACTTTCACAAGTTTTTTTTCTGGGACTTCTGGGGCTCCTCGGGGTGGAAGAGAGAAGCAGTTAATAGCATTTGCTCTATGTTCACTGTTATCTCTTTCACATGGAGTGCGCTATGTTGGGCTTAGTGACTTCTGGTGTCTTCAAAAAGTGAATCGCAGCCCTACTCCTTGGTAATATTCTGGGGCACAGAGGATGTGAAAATACTCCTTTTAGCTCTGCCTTGCTCTGGGGCTCAGGTAAGGCTGAAGTTCTGAAATACAAAATAAATGTTTGTATTTTGAACTCTTCCTAGGTAAAACCTTGCCATGAACCATAAAAGAAGGAAAAGAGCAGTGTTTTATGTCTTACAACGCTCTCCTAATCCATTGCAGAAGGCGGATGGGATTAAGGAGGAGTCCACACGGGCTCAGGGCAACAGAGCTCCTGTACCCTGGCTCAGCACAACCTTTTTCTGACTGCTGAAGATCTTCTGTCAGAATCAGACCTCACAATTTCTACCCTATGCAGGTTTATCAAGGCATTTGACTTTACTGGCAGCTACAAGACACGAACGCCCAGCATTCAAGGAGGGTTCCAGGCGGCCGGCATTGTCGTTTCTCTGCTGATGGCTTTCGCTGGGGGAACCCTTGTGGGTAAGCAGGGGGGCAGCATGGAGAGGCGAGAGCCTGCAGCCGAAATGGAGACATTCACACGCTTTTCTGCCTTGGCTGGATGGGTCCTTGCCGCTTGTGTTGCAAGCGTGGGTCAGACCACAGCCTCCACTTCTGCTCGCAGGGAGATGGGGTGGGAGTTTGTGGGAGACAAGCCCCAAAAACCAGCCCCAATCGGCCCCGCTCTAGGAGCCATCCTGAAGCTGCCCATCTGGGGCGACGCGGCCGACGAGAACTGCTTCGAGGATGACATCTACTGGGAGGTGAGACCGGGGGTGGCGGGCGGCACAAGATGGCGCTGCCGCCCTCCGCATGAGGGCCGGCGGCAGAGCTGAGCGGGCCGCGCCGTGCTGCAGGTGCCCGAGGACGAGGAGAGCGACGTGTACCACATGCACAACCCCGACAAGGCCGCCTCGCCCTGAGCCGCCATGCTGCCGGGCTGCCGCGCCTCAGCGGGACGGCGGGGCTGCCCCCGGGGGCGGGAAGATGGCGGCCGCCATGTCAGGCGCACCGCCCTGCCTGTGAGGAGAAAGCCTCGTGGGGAAAGCGTGGGGGGGGGGGGGGAAAACACCCGCTTCCCCGCTGGCTCACTTTTGTAATTAGTTCCTGTGAACAAAATAAAAGCATGGCTCTTTTTCGTAGTATAGGCCTCTGGTGAAAGCGGAGGGCAGCGGGGCACGGCATCCAGGATGGGGCTGAGCCCCTGTCCTGTGATGTGGGGTTGATGGCGTGGGGTGTGGGAGCTCACAGTGCTGCCCTAGGCCTGCTTGTAGAGTCACAGAATGTCCCGAGATGGGGGGGAAACCAGATGGATCATCAAGGCCAGCTCCTGGCTCCACAAAGAACCACCTAAAAATCAGACCATATTCTTGTGCTGCCCGTCATCATTTTGTCTTGGCTTCTTCACTGAGACCTCCGCCAGCTCTTTGTGAGCCTTGTTTGTGTGTGGCGTGCAGACCAGCAAGGCCCTTTCCTCTTCTTCAGTGTCATGCTTTTGTTATCAGTACCCACCAGAACCTGATGAGGATCAGCAAGGCCGTGTGCAGGATGCTGCACTTGGCTCCAGGCAATTCCAGGTATGCCTACAGATTGGGAGAAGAACCCACTGAGAGCAGCCCTGCAGAAAAGGACCTGGGGGTCCTGGTGGATGAAAAGCTGCACATGAGCCCACAGTGTGTGCCTGCAGCCTGGAAGGCTGATAGTATCCTGGGTTACATCAACAGAGAGGTAGCCAGAGAGAGGGGATTGTCCCCCTCTGTTCTGCCCTTGTGAGGCCCCATCTGGAGTACTGCATCCCGGTCTGGGCCCTCCGGAACAAAAAGGATGTGGAGCTGTGGGAGCAGGTCCAGAGGAGGGGCACAACAATCCTTAGAGGGCAGAAGCACCTCTCCTGTGAAGAAAAGCTGAGAGAGTTGTGTTTGTTCAGCTTGGAGAAGACTGGGGAGACCTCATTGTGGCCTCCCAGTACTTGAAGAGTGTTTATAAGCAGGAGGGCGACTGACTTTTTGCATGGTCTGGTAATGATAGGACAAGGGGAAATGGCTTTAAACTAAAAGGGGAAATTTAGGTTAGATATTAGGAAAAAATTCTATACTGAGGTGGTGGTGAGGTCCTGGCACAGGCTGCCAGAGAAGCTGTGGATTCCCCATCCTTGGAGGTGCTCAAGGCCAGGCTGGATGGGGATCTGGGCAGCCTAGTCTGGTGGGGGACACCAGCCATGGCAGGGGGTTGGAGCTGGGTGATCTTTAAGGTCCCTTCTAACCCAAGCTGTTCTATGATTCTATGATCACACCATTCTTTCCACTTTATGGTGCTATTCTGGTGGGAACGGCCCAACAACAGATCACTGCCTCCATCTGTTAACTGGACCGTCTTCCAGCCAGGAAAAACATCAGGTTTCAACCAGAGTCAAAGGAGACAGGAGTAAAAATCAGGCCTAAAACCTGTGTGTTTGCCAGCATGATACGTGAGGAGCAGGAGAGGAAAAGAGGGGAAAAAAAAAAAAAAAAAGAAAAAAAAAAGGAGGTGGGAGGGCTGATAGGTCTCTTCACCGTGTCTAGCTGTAATTCTCACACCTGAGGGGGGGAGTCAAAAGTAGCTATTCACATCCCCTTGGGATATGACACCCTCATTTTCCATGCTGGGTAAAGACAAAAACCCTTTACAACATGTTTCTGGAATTTGTCAGCGGCTGCCAGCAGCAGCATGTTAATTAAATGTCGGCAAAGATGGAAGCAAGAGGCTCTGCTCTAATTGGACACTTTGCTTGGTGGAGCTGAAAAACATTGTGACAGAGGAGGAGGTGCCGAAACACTGTGTTCCCCCGCCATGTCGAGGGGACGGGGACAGCAAGGCATAGGAAATGCACTGTTCTGAACCGCGGTTGTCTTTGCTTAGCCTGAGACAACCTCACTGGTGAAAAAAAGAGGAGTAACAAAAAAGGAAAAGGCCTAAAATCCCCCACAGGAATCATCACCAGCACAGCAGCAGCGTAGGATGCAGGGAGACAGCTTTGTAGTCTAAGAGGATGTTCAGCTAAATTGCTGATTTAACGGGGCATTCCTGGTTCCTTGGCTGTGCACCCTGTGGGATGAGCTTGGGGCGTCACTCAGTGTAGCAGTTCAGCATCCCTAAGTAATAGATGCGAGCTATGAATCTCCCCATCTCATGCCAGGCACTGATGTTGTCTGTAACTCAGAAGGCTTTGGCCGGAATAGTTTTGCTCCTGCCCTGGACTGTCCAGCTGGATCACTCTTTCCACTTTGAACCGGTGCGGGGACAAGAAAATGAGGAGCTTTGAGTTTTTGGACACGTCAGCCCACACATTTTGGGGAGGCAATGTCCCACTGTGGGGAGGCTGCCAGATCTGGCTCCAGAGCCTCTGGTCTGTCTTCCCAAAAGCTTGAAAACAATCTCAGGATTCAGTAACCAAAAAACCAAGCAGCCTTCATTGCTTTAGCAAGGCTGTTAGCCCCCATCTCATTCCTCTCTGAGCACCAGGACACAGTCCTGCCCCATGTGCTGATGTGGAGGGGAGCCCCAACCCCACTCCTTGTCCTCTGGGCTCTGCCTCCTCCTCGTGGGAAGACACCTGAATTGCCCAGACTCCTGGGCAGTGAAGCGTTTTATTGCCCGTGCTCTCGCGGGGCTCAGTCTGGTCTCAGTACCTAAATCACTCTCTGGGGCCGGCCTTGCAGTTTTAATTCCCTAATGAACAATGCCGGGGTCGGGCCAGCGCGTTTGAAGTGTGGTCACGGCCCCAGCGGTGGACAGAGGGTTTCTCAACGGGGAGTGGAGGATTGGCCTGCTTTAGCAGGCAGGCAGAGGAGGTGTGAGAAAGGAGCTGTTGATACCCATGGGGATTAGGTGGTACAAATTGGCTGGGAAGCACCGGAGGCATTGACCAGAGCTGTCCTGGGGCAGGTTCCCATGGGGGGGCTGCCTGAAACAACCCTCCTTCAAGGAGGCTGGAAGGGCCAGCCTGGCTGCTAATCCCCTGGGAGCTATGGAACACGAAGCAGAAAAGAGGTTAAAAAAAAAAAAAAAAGGGAGAGAAAATCTCGTGTAAAGATGGTGGTTTCCCCAAGGGGATGATAGAGAGAGAGGGAAGGGGGCGGGAAAGGGGGGAACGGCACCATTTAATCCTGCTTTTAATAGGCAGGTGGTGGGCTTAGATCACACTCCCGCTCCTGCAAGCTGCTGCAGAGATTTTGGAGAACGGCCGTGCGGACTGGCAGGGACCTCCACAGCCTTGCAAAGGATCCCCATCTGCAGCAAGAGGACACGTGCTTATGTCTGTGCTTGTGTGTGTGCCTGTGTAGGTGTGGGTACACGATGTCACCCCAGGTTGGGGCTGCTGTGGGCTCACCGCACGCCCAAAGTTGTCCCGGTGCCCACGCTGCCGTGTGTGGGTGCAATCTCCCATGCACATACCCCAGGCACACACTTCTTCTGAGCACATGCACACACTCCCCGGCACAACGAGCGCCCTGTGCCAAGTGTTGGCACATCTCCGGGTGCGTGCCGGCATTGCACGTGCGTGTGCCCTTCAGCACACCCGCAGGGACACGTGCCAGCTGTCTGGCCGCATCGTGGCCGTGGCCATCCGTGCACCTTTGTGCTGGTGCGAGTGCGTGCGTGTCGGACCTGGTGCGTCCACGCCTGTGTGAAAGACTCTCCAGCCCCTTCTTCAGGAGTGCTGTAAATTGTAATCAGATTAAGGCAGCCAATCACTTAGGGCCCTTGAAAAGGGCATACGTTCCCTAATCAGTACCTAGCATTGAGTCTCACAAAGGGTCTAAGTAACTCGGCAGGGGTCGGGCCCTCTGGAGCGCAGGGGAGGGGGCTTGCCTTTCTTTTCTCTCTGTCCCTTGTAATTATGTCAATTTGCTAGCCAAATTGTTTGCTTGAGTGGACAGTGGGGGCTTGCCCCCCTTCCCGCCTTCCCCCCACCCCCGGCCCCATTCATGTGCTAATGTGGGAAGGAGCATGGCCTCCTGACTTCAGGAGGTGGCCGTGGCCTCTCGAGGAGCAGCACGCGGTGCCCGCACCCAGCCCCGTGTCCACAGGCTGCTGCCTCCCCATGCCTCAGCGAGATCTTCTGGTCTCTGCATGCTGATGGACATGAAGACATAGTGTTGAGTTTCTTGAGCTTCTCATCTCATTGCAGGACTCTACCATGCCAAGGGATTCACCCCTCTGACTCTGGAGAGGGAACAAAACCTCAAGACCAGCATGGACAGAGAGGTGGTGAATGATGGCAGGGAGAGATGGTATCACCATTGATGGACAAGGAGAGATGCTGCCTACATCTCTTGTACCTTGTGAGCAGGCAAAGGGCATGCACACCCTGAGCTGCCTGCTGGCACTGCCAGTTGTCCTGAGCCTATGGGGACATGGAGGAAAAGGTGACAGTGACAGGAACCTATGCTGTAGGCATCCATGAGCTGTCAGATGCTGCTGTGACAGACATACACAAGGCTCTCAGTCACACCACTGCCACCCAAGGCCACCTTTCCCCACCCTGCCTGGGGACAGCAGGGAGTAAATTACATGTGTGCCCCTGGGAGTCCCCTCTGCATGCCCCTGGATGCCTTCTCATGCAGCCCAGAAGACCGGGGCCCTCTCCTGCTGGCTCCTGCTTGTGTCACCTCCCTCACCTGCACCACGTCCCCTCCTCACCCCGTCGCAGGGCCGGGAGCTGTGCCAAGCTGCACAGAAGCTCCTCCGACACACCTCCCCACCCACTCCCAGCATTTGCATACATTCTGCCCGCAAATCCTTGTCAAGGGGAGCCTCTTTATTGCCTGTATAGATCACAGGGTGTTTGTTAAGGGGCTTCTTTGTATTGCCTCAGACAGCTGGGGTCATCAAAAGTCCTGCGGTGGGAAGGAGAGACAGGAGGAGGGGGGAAACCCTGACA